CCGCACGCATGCCAGGCGAGCGCGCTACCGCTTGAGCCACATCCCCAGCCCAGAGAGAGAATTTTTTAATATTTATTTTTTAGTTTTCAGTGGACACAACATCTTTGTATGTGGTGCTGAGGATCGAACCTGGGCCACACGCATGCCAGGCGAGTGCGCTACCACTTGAGCCACATCACCAGCCCCAAGACTATTCTGCTCTTGAAGAAACAACTTTTTTCTTTTTGGGGGCCGGGTACTGAGGATTGAACTYAGGGCCACTCGACCACTGAGCCACATCCCCAGCCCTATTTTGTAATTTTATTTAGAGACTGCATCTCTAAGTATCACTAAGCACTGAATTGCTCAGTGCCTTACTAAATCATTGAGGCTGGCTTTGAACTCTAAGTCCTCCTGCTTCAGCCTCCCAAAGCACTGGGATTATAGGTGTGCGCCACTGCACCCTGCTGCTGCTGCTGCTTCTTGTTTTTTTTTGTTTTTGTTTTGATATTGGGGATTGAATTTAGGAGCACTTTATCATTCAGCTACATCCCTAGCCTTTTTAAATTTTTTAAATTATTTATTTTTTTGAGACAGGGTGTCACTCGGTTGCTTAGGGCCTCACTAAATTTCTGAGATTGACCTCAAACTTGTGGTCCTCTTGCTTTAGCCTCCCAAGTTGCTGGGATTACAGGTGTGTACCATGGCACCTGGCACATGTGTCTTTTTAAAAATAGCATTTATAGGAGCTGGGATTTTTGGCTCAGAGGTAGAGCACTCACCTAGCACGCATGAGGCACTGGGTTCGATCCTCAGCACCACATAAAAATAAAATAAAGATATGTGTCCACCTATAACTAAAAAATAAATATTTTAAAAAATAGCATTTATAAAGCTTTCAGATGCCCTGGTAACATTTATATCTTCTCCATTCATCAGGGGAAAAGAATTTCTTTTTATAAACGAGCCCAAATCCTTGTGGCAGACACATGGAGTGTGTTAGAAGGAAAAGGAGATGGCTGCTTTAAGGATATCTCCAGTATCACTATGTTTGCTGACTATAGATTACCTCAGATTCTTGTTCACCTTGGAGCCCTGAAATACTCTAATGAACTACTGAAGAAGCTTCTTAAAGGTTTGCCACTTTAGCTCATTATTTGTTATTCTATACATTGTTGTTAAATCTGTTTAGTTTCTTTCACAAAAAACTCTACTTAAAAAAAAAAAGGCACTATTGTTAAAAGTATATGTGAAGAAAAATGTAAGGGCAATTGAAATATAGGAAAAATGGCTCTTCTTGTTTATACTATGAAGTGTGGATATTGTTGAAAATTGTGCTATTGGAACATTATAAGAGCCTAATAAAATAAAACCTAAATTTATGGTACAAGGAGATATACAGTATAGGTGTAATATCTGAGGCGCATTAATTTAGCTGAAGAGGACACTGCATATTAATATAAAGGGTGGAATGAGAGATAGGTAATATTTACAGAACTTTGAGTCAGAAGGCTGTAACATCATCCCCACTGATTTATTTTTATCTTGCACAAATGACTCCCTTCTCTACCCTTGTTTATTCAACATTACTGGATTTTTTTTCCCCCTTTGGAGATATGGTTTCACTAAGTTGCCAAGACTGGCCTCAAACTTGCAATCCTCAGTCTCCCAAGTAGTTGTTTTGTTTTGTTTTTGTGGTGCTGGGGATTGAACCCAGGGCCTTGGACATTCGAGGCAAGTGCTCTATCAACTGAGCTATATCCCCATCTCCAGATATAATTTTTGATATCAAGACTGGGGGCATAGCCAGACATGGTGAGTCATGTCTGAAATTTTAGCTACTTGGGAAGCTGAGACAAAAAGGTGGCAACTTAGCCTGGCCAACTTAGTCAGATCTTGTCTCTGAATTTAAATTTAAAAAAAAGGGGGGACTGGGAATGTGGCTCAGTGATTGAGTGTCCCTGAATTCAATCCCCAGTACCAAAAAAAAAAAAAAAAAAAAGACTGGGGCTATTATTGTATATAAAATAGGTAAATTGTGTTGAGAAGTTTGTGTAAAAATTATTTTAAAACAAACAATACATTTCTTTGAGCCGTGCTTGGTAGTGCACATTTGTAATCCTGCTGCTTTGGGAGACTAAATAACAGAATAACAGAAATGTTCTGGAGGCCAGCAGTCTAAAATTAAGATGTTGGCATGACCTTCCTCCTCCTAAAGATTCTTAGGAATCTTCCTTGCCTCTCCCCAGCTTTTGGTGAATGACAGGGCTTCATGTATATTGTAAAACTCTGTGCAAGGTTGCAGATTGGTGGCCAGAAGCCAAATATAGCCTGTAGGTGTATTTTGTTTGGCCTGAACAGTACTTTAGGCAGTTTACAATGTCTGATCCCCGTAGGCATTTGAGTTGATGAACTGTACTGTATTCTCAGTGGCAGCCAATGCCCCCCCTTCAGAATTAGATATATTCTGGAGATAGGTACTGAATAGACTGGGGGTCTTACGTAAGATTGTAGCTCCATATTCAGGCAGAGCTGACTCAAGGATCCAGAATCCAAACAACAGTGATGATTTTCTGTGCTCAGGTTAACAACTTTCATTTTTCCTGATGTACCTATGATGTCCCCAAGACAGTATTCAGCCAGCTAAGGGAGAAAGATCCTGTTTATTGGACCACAGAGTCTTTCAAAATTTGAAATAGTATTTTTTCCCTGGTAACCCACTTTTAAATCCTTTAAAAATAATAATAACAATAAATTAATATTAACCACCAATAATTATTAATTTAATAATTTATAATTATTTATATAATTAATAATTGTTAAATGATTTAATAATTATCAAATTATTAAATAATTAACAATTTAATTTATTATTTGTGGTTGCTAATAAATTAATAATTATGTTTAATTAATTAATAATTATAATTAAATAATCATTTTTTATTTTTTTATTTGTTGTTGAATTATTATTATTTGTRGTGCTGGGGATGGAACTCTGGGCTTCATGCATGCTAGGCAAGCTTTCTACCAACTGAGCTATATTCCCAACCCCTAAAAAAATCAGACTTGTTTTCATCTTTTCTCTTTCCTTTTATTGTTTCTTTTTTCTTTTCTGTTCTCTTGTTTTTTTTTGCTGTCACATTTTATTTTATTGATTGATTGATTGATAGATAGATAGATAGATACCAGGAATTGAACTCAGTAGCATTCAACCACTGAGCCATATCCCCAGCCCTCTTTTGTATATCATTTAGAGACAGGGTCTGACCAAGTTGTTTAGCACCCCACTTTTGCYGCGGCTGGCTTTGAACTCATGATCCTCCTGCCTCAACCTCCCAAGCTGCTGGGATTACAGGCGTGTGCCACTGAGCCCGGCTTGCTGTCATATTTTTAAATTTAGAATTATTTCATCTTCATTAACAAATGTTTATTTAGGGAGCAAGTATGTGCAAGGTGCTTGCTATTCTAGGTCCTGGGAATATTGAGAGAAACAAGCCATCTAGTCCTTGTGAAATGTAAATTTGTAATTTTGCACTAATGTCTGAGTTTAGAAAATATTTTTTTCACTCCATTTTTTTTAACCCTTGCAGGAGAAATGCTTTCATATGGGGATAAGCAGGAGGTAGAAATCAGAGGGTGCTCCCTGTGGTGTGTTGAATTGATCCGGGATTGTCTTCTGGAACTTATTGAAAAAAAGGGTGAAAAGCCTAATGGAGAGATCAATTCCATTCTTCTGGATTTTTACTTATGGGACTACGCCCGTGACCATAGGGAAGATATGAAAGGAATTCCATTTCATCGTACACGGTGCATATATTATTGACCCTAAGCAAACTGATCCAAAGAAAACTGCATTTTTATATTATATAATTATTTGTACAATTTTGCTTTGATGTTAAGAGAATGTTGTAAAGGTTATGGAGACAAGAAAATTGACTGTCCCATCTCACTTAAAATTTTTTTCCTTATCTGGGCATGATGGTACACACTTGTGATTCTAGCAATGTGAGAAGCTAAGGCAGGCAGACCCAAGTTTAAGGCCAGCCTCAGCCACTTAGCAAGACCCTGTCTCAAAATAAAATTTAAAAAAATTTAAAGGGCTGGGGTGAAGCTCAGTGGTAGAGTGCCTCTAGGTTCAGTTCCTTTAGTACCAAAATACATAAATAAATGATAAATAAAAAATTTTACTTTTTTTTTGTACCAGGGATTGAACCAATGAACACTTACCCACTGAGCTACATCCTCAGCCCTTTTTTATATTTTATTCAGAGACGAGCCCTTGCTAAGTGGCTGAGGCTGGCTTTGAATTTGAGATCCTCCTGCCTTAGCCTCCCCAGCTACTGAGGTTAGAGGTGTGCATCACTGCGCCTGGCTTTGTGCCTGCTTAGTTTTGACAATATTTTCTCTTTCTGTGCACATATGGTTGACAGAAATAATAGAGGAACTTAAATATTTTCTTTAAATTCAGAATTTTAAAAATGTAATCATGCCTTATAGTGTGATTAATCTTTAGTAATAATATTCTCTTCATTCAATTGATGATAGCTTTTTTCAACTTGTAGAATTTTTCTCTCCTTTTTTTTTTTTTTGTACTAGCGATTAAACTCAGGGGTACTTTACCACTGACTATATCCCCAGGCCTTTTTATTTTTTATTTTGAGACAGGGTCTCACTAATTTGCTGAGGCTGGACTCACACCTGTGATCTTCCTGCCTCAGCCTCCCGAATTGTTGGGATTACAGGTATATGCCATCACACCTAACACACATAATTATAAAAGGTTTACAATAAGTTATCACTTCCCTGTTGCAGAACTCAAAGTACCTACTAAGCACTTATTTCCCATTTCTGCTACCACCTTCCTTCTAAGAGATCTTAATTTTGTGAAATATCTACAGTAATTCCATTTTCCTTCATATCCAAGATAGATTGGTTCCAGGGCACTCTCTGCCACCATATYAAAATCCAAGACCCTAATTTAAGGTCTCACAAAATGGATAATATTTACATATAAGCTATGCACATTTTCCCATAAACTTTAAATCATCTCTAAATTAGTTATGATAACTAATACAGTATAAATGTTATATAAGTAGTTGTTATCATTATTCCCTAAACAACACAGTATAAGAAAAAGTGTTTAGGTCAGAATATTTTTGATTTGTGGTTGATTGAATCTATGGATGCAGAAACCACAGATAAGGGAGACTGACCATTTTTTGTTGGATTGCTTTCACTTTGTGTAAATCTGAAATATGTGCCCTTTCCCCAAGCACTTTACTGCCATCTGCTGGAAATCTGTCATAATCACTTTACAGATGACAATCACTGTAAATGTGAATGAGGCCTCCTAGTATTGTGTAATAAACATAAGTAGTTTGGTGTCTGTCTCTTCCTTTTGTGACTCAAGAGAAGGTGATCTCATGCCCAGTTCCAGAGTAGATCTGGCATAGTGTGAATGATTTCTTGTTCATGGTAATCCTGTTTCTTTGCCTGTGATTGCTTTGGTAATGGGTAAATAATCTAGTTTTGGTTAGTGATGCTGGACTAGAGGGTTTCTAGAAAACAGTTCATCACATTCAAGAAAGATTGCCTAAGATTGCCTGGCATATGCAAAGCCACATACACACACACACACACAMAAAAAAAAAAAAGCAGGAAGAAAGAGTCATAGGAACTCAATGCAGTGATACATGCCTATAATCCCAGCTACTTTGGAGGCTCAGGATTGTAAATTTGAAGCCGGCCTCACCAATTTAGCAAGACCCTCTATCAAAAAAAATAAAAGGCGCTGGGGATGAAGTTCATCAACTAGTACAAGACCCTAGATTCAATCCTCGGTATCTTTAAAAAAAAAAAAAGACATAGGAGATGGTCCCTCTTCTTTTGAAATGATGTTGTCTATAAACATAACTGAAACTATAGTAGCCGTTGTGTGAAGCCAGAGTCTACTGTGTACCTACTATGCCTGAGCTTGTTCTATGAACTGAGATAAACACATTACCTTTTCAATTAGTTTTCTGTAACTTGTACCAGAATACATCATGATAATTTCCCACATAATCTCTCTGCTCCTGCCATCTTTCCTGTACCTTTTCCTCTTTCCTTTCCCTCTTTTCACCCCTTCTTTGTCTTTCCCTTCCTCCCTCTCTTCTGTCCTTCCTCTTCGTCCTCCTCTCCCCCGCTTTTTCTATTCCTTGCATTCTTTTTCCCTCCTTTCCCAGTTTCCTCTTTACCTCCTCTCCCCTTACCCCTTATCCTCCCAGCTTTCCTCCCTTCTCTGTCTTTCCTTCTTCCTGCTTTTCTAATATGTAAAAGACAGAAAAGGAAATTCAGGGCTTTGTGGTGCTTCAGGTGTCACAGACCCAACTGTCTTTTCTCTTGTGCCATTGATCATAGCCTCGACTCATGATTCAAGATATCTGCACTCTAATCCTGCAGAACAACTGAAGAAGCAATGAAGTTGAAGACAAAGAAAGGGTTGACAAGGAAGGCTCCTGTAGCTACCACATTATATTTGTTTCCATTTCACTAACTAGAACTTGGTCAACTAACTGCCAGGGAGGCTAGGAAGTTACACTGTATTCTGGACATTGGTTACCAGCTAAACTATGTAAGGAGTATGGATGGAGATTGGGGCAGCAAGTTTTGGTGACCAGAGTATGGATTTTATAATTTTCATACCCTATCTAGACCAAGATAATTTATGTAATGGTTTTAACAGATAATGATCATCATTTTTCAGATCTGTTAGTTCATTACAAAATGATAATGTAACTCTAATATACTTGGTTTTGTGGATCTTGTATTGGGGATAACTTCTCTTGGTGGATTTCAGGGTAGGCTGAGAACACAGAACCAGCTCCTGAAATTCCAGAAGAAAGTGGTGTTTTAGTCAGTTTTTTCACTGCTGTGACTAAATGACCCGACCAGCMCAACTGTCCTAAATTTAATTGCAAGGGCCAGAGAATGGAGGGAGGAAGAGATAAAGAAAGTGGGATGTGGAAATATGTTCCAGAAAAAATTTTCAGCTATGTTGATTCATGCCACACACTCTTAAAGGTGATGAAACTATACGCAGCCCCCTACCAACTCCCTCCATTCAGTTTTTTAATTTTTTTCCTCATAATGCTGGGATAGAACCCAGGGCCTCACACTTGGTAGGCAGTGTTCTACCACTGAACTACATCCCAGGCCTTCCATTCAGTGTTTTTAAACACAGATTTCATTGGTTCTTTTTCAGTAGTCACCAACGAATTTATCTTCCTCTATAAATCCAAGTAATTTATTAAAAGTATTTTGTTAACGCCTACCAATGAAAGTAAGCAGACTGGATTTATTACCTATTGCATTGAAGGGTGTCTTAATAAGAGGATGACTTGGGAGAGGATGTAAGAAAGCAGAGTTCTCTCCAGATGGGCTGCTGTCAAAAAGATGGGGCAGGGGCTGGGGACGTGGCTCAAGCGGTAGCGCGCTCACCTGGCATGCGTGCGGCCCAGGTTCAATCCTCAGCACCACATACAAACAAAGATGTTGTGTCTGCCGAAAACTAAAAATAAATATTAAAACTAAAAATAAATATTAAAAATTCTCTCTCTCTCTCTTTTTCTTAAAAAAATAATAAAGATTGCTGGTGTAATTCTTAAAAAAAAAGATGGGGCAATTGTACCATTGGCTATCTTAAATCTTATCTATAGGGAGAGAAGACTACATCGAAGAGAAAGCTGTTATAGTAAAGAAATTGGCAGTCACATAATAGAGATAGAAGAATGTTTGGTACTTTGTGTATGACATAGTGGTCTTATTTTTGTCTGCTTGCACAAAATTATAAAATGGTTTTATTTAGTCTCAGTTTATCATGGACTCTAGTGTCCTTTTTTTTTTTTTTTTTTGGTACTGGGGATTGAACCCAGGGGCACTTAACCACTGGTGGGGGGGTTTAAAAAAATAACATAATATCAAAGACTTGTGGGAAAGGATCTTGCTGAGTTGCTTAGGGCCTCACTAAATTGCTGAAGCTGGCTTTGAATTTGCCAATCCTCCTGCCTCAGTATCCCCAGTCGCTGGGATTATAGGCATGTGCCACTGCACTGAACAAACTCTAGTATTTTTTTTKTGTGTGTGTGTGTGGTGCTGGGGATTGAACCCAGGGCCTTATGCATGCGAGGGAAGCACTCTACAGACTGAGTTATTTCCCCAACCCTCTAGTGTTTCTTATGTTGGTATTGGTAGAAGAAAAAATCTGAGATGTCCTAAATTTAATTACAAGGGCCAGAGAATGGAGGGAGGAAGAGACAAAGGAAGTTCATCTGTTAACAGCTGCAGATGAAAATAAGAAAAAAGACTCTTTCATATTCTTGATGAAACCTTGACTTTAATCCCATTATAGCCTACCGTCAGAGCTACCATGCTCTGTTACATTAAAATTTCTGGACTGTTAACCAATTCAGAAACAAACAGTTACTTCTCAGGGACCATCCTCATATCTCAAAGCTCTCCCTGCTTCTCATTATTCTACCTATCTTATCTATAGCTAATGGAGGTTCAGTGTAAATCACTTGTTCTGTCTTTACCCAAACTTCTGTTATAAAAATACTCTTAGTTCTAGGTCTTCTTTTCCAGCTGCAAGTTAGCTGTGCTGCTGGTGATTGCAGAAACTCTTCCTATGACCAGGTCCTTTGCCTGGCTAGCATCTGTAACAGTTTAATCAATCTTTATTTCAGAGATGTCTTGGTCTCAAGAGTTTTGGTTTAACAGTATTCTGTGAGATTGTGTTCAAAAGGAGTAAGATGGCATAACTGTGGGAGTGCCAGCCCACTTTTGCCAGGGACTACTTTTGTCATTTTTCAACCTTTAACTTCTTTCTAATTAGTGCCAAAGCAAATTAATACATTTAATTAATTAAATTCAATTCAGATTTTTTTTTTTTTTTTGTATTCTATCACAGTTCTCCTCCTCTGAAGCTAGTTGGGCAATGGCTTGATATTTAGTAAGCCACAGTATGTGACTTAGGGACTTGGCCGTCCTTTTCCTTATAACTTCCTTTCATTGTGCTTAGATTCTTTTTATTGAGTGTGGCAGGGGTTGGGGGGGTCAATT